AAGCATTCTATGCTAATTTTTCTTACAGCAACATGTTAAAAAAAGATTTGGCATAGCGACACTTATGAAAATACCTCGTGGTAGGGGGAGGGAGTGGCTGGTAAACAAACGTACAAGGTACATGCTATTTGCATAAAAATATGGTAGTCTCTTTCTGATTGTTCTTTTTCAAGGAAACGTCTGACTTGCTCATCATTTTCTTGTTACCTGAATGACAATGCTAACATCTAGTGTTTATTGGTGCCAGCCACCATCCTAACACACTACATGAATTCCAGTGGCATCCCGAGATATGCCCACTTAGGTTATGAGAATTCAACTTTATGAGGATTTTCATAAAGTTTGGCGTTACAAAAATCCATATGGTTTCTCGGGTTTTAGGAACCACAAAGCCCCATCATCTGCACAAATGTGTAGATCACATGAGTTGCTTCTCCTCTCGGAGTCCTTGAAGTTAACTGTTTTTTAGCAGTCGCATCATGACTTCTCTGATGGTGATCTACTAGTGAGTGTGATGTTTGAATCGTTTTCGTTGATTTTCCCTGTTTTTGTCTCCTTTTGTTTTTGCATTAGAGGTTGAATTACATAAACTTTGAGTATCATAGCTATGTTCTGTACATTAGCTATTGTCCTCAGTGTGTACTGGGTAATGGCTACAAGAGCTTGGGGAAAGCAGGTAAATAGCCACATTATGGAGTGAAAAATGCAGAGAAAACGTCTTGTTAGGTTGCATTGTGATAGCTAATGTTAACTATTGAAGTAACTAGTCATTTTATGAGATTTGGTATTGTTTTAGCATAAATATGTGTCAGTTTTGGAGCTCAGGAACAAAGCACATATTTTCTACCTAGAGAAATTAATGGTAATTATGATTTCGACTAAGGAGAAATCTCCCTATGATAATTTTTTCAGGAAGAATTATTCTTGTAAGATGGAGGGAGACTGTAACTCATTTAATTCTCACAACAACCCTGTGAAATAGGTGCTATTTATTATTAAAAAAATAGTCATGTAGCACTTATTGTATGCCAGGCACCGTATGTATATTAATTAAGATGGTCCTCTCAACAACTCTGGGTGGACAAAATTGTCACCATTTTATAGTGAGGAAACCAAGGCATGGGGAGATTAAGTAACTTGGCTTATCTGAAATTAAGTGATGCTAGTATGGCTGGCAGAACAAAGAACTGTCCTAAGTGTCTATGTGTAATATTTATAACAACATCTAACAGCTATTGAGTGGTAAGCACTTTACATACAATTCCTTATTTAATTCTCCTGACAAGCCTGTAAGGTAGCAATTTTACCCTAATTTTACAGATAAGGAAACTGGTGCATACACAGGAGAATAACTTGTCCCAAATCAAAAGCTGGTTAATGACAGAGCTGGGATTTGACCCTCCATGTAACCCAAACTTATGCTTTTAACCAGCTTAGGGATCCAGCATAGCAGAATCTCAGATGGGGGAAAGTGAATGGCATTTTTTAATTTAACAAAAGGGATCATGAATTTAAAAAAAAGGCCAAAATATTTCTTTATAGTATACTGCTTCTGGTATCACAAACAACAGAAATAAAGGTGAAAAATATCTCAGAAATTGGTCTATATATCATAGCCAATGGTACAAAAACAACAATAAAGAGGACAAGGGGATTTTCTAATGCTTTTTATGACTCTGTTTATAACATATAAAAGCAGCTTTGAACTGAGAAGAAATGCATAGCTAAATTTTGAGCTAACAAAAGCCACCCTTTCTCTACCTTCTTTACCATGCAGTGTGGGTGTATACTCCTTGCTACTTACCTTGTACCATAATGACAGAATGTCTGTTTTCCCTGTAACAGTTTACGAGGAAAATCATGAAATGCCTTCTCTGGAAGGTTTTGAAAATCAGTTTCCTATTTGGCAGGGTAGTATAACGGTGGTTGTGATGGTTAATGTCACGTGTCAACTTGGCTAGATATGATTCTCAGTGATTTTGCAGATACTGGAGTGGGTGCTCTTCCCTAATGTAGTACACCTTCCATGATGGGATCAGCCAGTCTGCTGAAAGGGGAGTTTCTTTGGGGGTGTGGCCTGCCTCCAATATATAAATGGATGTTCTCGCAAAGCTTACTCTCTCAGCCCTGCACTCTTTTTATCACCTGACTGCCAGTTCTTGGGGCATAAGCCTGCAGAGGCCTTTAGCCTGCCACCTGACCTACAGATTTGGGACTTGCCAGTCCCTACAATTGTGTGAACTATCTCCTCCCAATTGTATGAGTCATTTCCTTGAAATAAATCTCTCCATATATTTATAGATACATTTCACTGGTTTTGCTCCTATAGAGAACCTAGACTAAGATAGTGGTCCTTTCTGAAATTGGGAGAATTGACTGTATAACCTTTCAAAGTTCCTCCTAACCCTCATATATGATACGCTGTTGTTGTTGTTAGGTGCTGTTGGGTCGGTTCTGACTCATAGTGACCCTACAGGACACAGCAGAACTGCCCAATAGCGTTTCCAAGGAGAGGCTCATGGATTGGAACTGCTGACCTTTTGGTTAGCAGCCGAACTCTTAACCACTGTACCACCAGGGCTCCCATATATGATATAGGTATGCCAATACCACAAAGCTTTGTTAAAAAATGTAAAGGAATGTTTGTTAAAATAACACTTAAGGAAATTGGTTCCAGATAGTAGGGAAAGTAACAATGAAAGCTGAGATACTGTGCAAAATATTCTAAAGGGTTCAGAATAGAATATGTTTGAAATTTCTAGGAAGACATTTTGTACAATGGAGAAATTTTATGGATAGAAATCCTCTTATTGAAACATACAGTTATTAAAAAAAAAACAAAACCCGTTGCTGTCAAGTTGATTCCGACTCCTAACTACTCAATAGGGTTTCCAAGGAGTGGCTGGTGGATTCGAACTGCCAACCTTTTGGTTAGCAGCTGTAGCTCTTAACCACTGAACCACCAGGGCTCCACACATAGTTATAACTACCATAAAATAGTATAAAATATATTCAAAGAATTAACTAGAGCATGTGTTTATAAGCAATCATAAAATAACACAAGAGCATGATGCCAGTAATAAGACCACGGGAGAAAACTGAAATTACACATAAGTTTTGTAGAGCTTCATAATAATATAATTCATAACATAATAATAATAGCAACCAGCCTTTGAGTACTTCCTATTGTCTTAGTTATCTAGTGCTGCTATAACAGAAATACCACAAGTGGATGGCTTTAACAAATTTAGTCTCTCACAGTTTAGGAGGCTAGAAATCTAAATTCAGGGTGCCAGCTCCAGGGGAAGGCTTTCTCTCTCTGTTGG